ACGAGGCGTTGCTCTTGATGAAGTGGCAGCCATAGTCGATCCAGAACGCAATAAGGATACCCCAAGTAATAGACCACTGCTGCAGACTGACAAGACGACCACGAATGGCGGGGGGAGCGACTTCGGACTGATAGACAGGGACGACCATGGACAGAGTACCAACACCGAGACCAGCAATGAAACGACCAGTAATCAGCATGCCGCGGTTAATGGAAGCAGTTTGGATGACAGCACCGAGGATGAAAACGAGAGAGGCAGCCATAATGGTGCGCTTACGTGAGAGCTTGTCGGCGAGGTAGCGGCACACAGCGAGCCGACAAAGCAGCCAGCGGTAAGAATAGAGGTAATGACACCAACCCCAGTTGAAAGGGGGTGATGGAAATAGTTCTTCCACTGGTCCATCTCCAGAATGGAAGACATGACTCCGATATCATAACCGAAGAGGAGACCACCGAGGGCGGAGATGCCTCCACAAAGTAGGCTTGCGCGTTTCTACCCATGGTTACGGATTAGTTGAGTACAAGCAGGCGGGGGCTTGATGGGTTGTATTAGGCTGCGAAGGAGAATAAAGTGTACGATGAGTACAAGTAACAAAACTAGGAGAATTAGGAGAAAGTACTAATAGAGAGCTGAACGGCGTCCTGGTAGCGAGAGCTGTGTGGTAGACAGGGAAAGTAGGGAGGTGGGGAGGTGGGTAGATGCCTCGACTTATATAGCATCTGCAAAAGAGTACCCAAAAAGAACTGGGGCACTGCGTCTTCGTTATAGCATTTATCGTACTCTGGTATGCTGTTTATGCTGGGCTGTGCATCTGCGGTGGATCTATGACCAGCTGCCGGCAGTTGGCCCCCGCGCCCACTGCTAGCTGATTTGCTCTGCCACACCACTCGTGTGCATCAGCGTAACATTCAACAAAAAAAAAAAAGAAAAACCAGTTTGACACGAAAGTTCCTTTCACCCAACATAAAGCACAACGGGTGGGGTGGGTTGCTACCACCGATCCATAGCCCCCTGCTGCATTCTGGCACCAGCCAGGTTCACCAGGCGCCCCCTGGTCCAGCGATTCTTTCTATTGGAGAGGCAAAAATAGCTGGTGACGGGCGGGCCAGCTGGTCAGCATGCACCGATTCCGGCACTCTTTCAATCTCTGGAATTCTATTTTCATAGCTGGTGTGCATCATAGGCATGTAGATCACTGTCACTGGCATGCTCAACTCAACAAACGCTTTTGTAGAGCAGCTGTTGCTGTCAGGAGAAACCAGCTGCATCTTTCACCTGCTTCATGCGTGGCGATGGCCAGCTAAGCCAAGAGAGATGTGCAAGCAAAACCAGCGGCCTAGCAATGGCCTCTCGCCGATTTCCTGCTTGTTTCGCCACCAATCCAAGATCGGCCATCTGCAATTGCACAATTCGCCTGTAAACTGCCGAGTCGGCAATGTCCACACTCATTCATTTTGCGTTGTCCCCCCCCCCGCATTAATCACCAGTTTGCTGGCTTGATGTCGATTATTTACTTGAGTGCCAGGGATTCACAGATTCGGTCGGCGTGCTGCCCGAGTTCACTGCCGTGCATGTCGCTTGTGACTGGGAAAACGGCGGACTGTAGTTGGGACTTTTGCACAGGGCTCCGATAGTTTTGCCATTTGCTTTCCGGGACACGCTTCGGACTTACCTTGGCAGTTTCTAGCGGCCAACTTTCAGAACCGGTCGTTGCTTTTCAGCAATATTGTCAGCAGCCAGGTTTCCACATTATGTATATTCAGCATATTGAATATCGCTGTATATATTATCTTTATCACGGCGCATAGACCGACCCCAACATGAAGACCTTGCAGTTACATATCTTCCACATAATTATTAGAAACTTTACGCGGAAAAACCGTGCACATTACCAAACCGGCACTGCCCATCTCCCAATTGGGGGTTTTGGGGAGTGCAGGGAGCAGCGAAGCGGTGGGGAAATGAATTACGAATAGGTGGCGATGCATATCGACTGTAGCACAGCCATGCCTGCAATGGGTTTACGCCAGGCTATGCTTGCATCGACATTCTAAATAGACAGCACGCCACTAGTTGCCAGTATTAACAAGGTGAAACGCGCAAAAGGGAATCTATAGTTGACAAAAGGAATGAGAAGACAAAGCTAAATTAATATCAAGAAATGATTAGACGTCATCGCTCTTCTCCTTACGGCCGCTATCGTACTGAGCAATACGAGCAGCATCCTTGTGGGCCCATATAGACCCAGTGAAGATGACCTCCATCTCCTCAAGAGACCGTTCTTGGTCTCAGGGAAGAACAGGTAGATGATGAAAATTGCGGCAAACATGACAATGGCGAAGATGAGGTCAAGACCCCATGTGATCTTCTTGATCAGGATAGGAGCAACCAGACCAACAACAAAGTTGAACAGCCAGTTTGATGCGGTCGCAATGGAGCTGGCACGCGAGCGAATGTGCATGGGGAAGATCTCAGCCGGATAGATCCAGCCAACAGGGCCCCACGAGGCAGCGAACGAGATAACAAACAGGTACACCATGACAATGACCAGGTACGAGACACCCTTAGGCAGATGCAGGTCGACGCTCCCATCGATAGCTTCTCCTTGTTCTGAGTGGCGCCGTGGCGACAGCCTGGATGAAGTAGGTAGCACCACACATGAACGAGCCGATCATCAGAGTCTTGCGGCGACCCCAGCGGTCAACCCACAGAATGGCAGGAATGGTGGCCAGCATATTATGACACCGTTGATACCTTGGCAAGAAGTGAGGCGTTGTCGGAGCTGAGACCGGACTGCTTGAAGATCGAAGGTGCAAAGTACATGATGACGTTGATACCGTGAGCTGCTGGAGAGCCTGGATGACAACACCAGGACGACACGGCGGCGAATCGGGTACTTGGCCAGCTCGGTGTAGCTGCGGACAACAGTCTCGCGCTCAAGGCGAACCTCCTTGATATCCTCGAACTCCTCGATGACAGCAGGATCATTCTCGTCACCAGCACGCAAGGCGAGCAAGGCACTTGCGAGCCTCATCGAAGCGGTCGTTATCCACAAGCCAGCGGGGTGAGTAAGGAATGAAGATCATACCAATGAATAGAATGACAGCAGGCACCATCTGGATGGCAATAGGTACACGCCACGAGGCGTTGCTCTTGATGAAGTGGCAGCCGTAATCAATCCAGAAAGCGATCAGAATTCCCCAGGTAATAGCCCACTGCTGGAACGAAACGAGACGACCACGAATGTGGGAGGAGCGACTTCGGACTGATAGACAGGGACGACCATGGACAGAGTACCAACACCGAGACCAGCAATGAAACGACCAGTAATCAGCATGCCGCGGTTAATGGAAGCAGTTTGGATGATAACGCCGATGATGAAGATAATGCAAGCACCCATGATGGGAGCGCTTACGCGAGAACTTGTCGGCAAGGTAACCGGCACACAGCGAGCCGACAAAGCAGCCAGCAGTAAGCATTGAGGTAATGACACCGACACCAGTCGAACCGGGGTGATGGGAAATAGTTCTTCCACTGCTTCATCTCCAAAATGGAAGACATTACACCGGTGTTCATAACCGAAGAGGAGACCGCCGAGGGCGGAGACACCTCCCACAAAGTATGTTTGTGCGTGTCCCATGGTTGCAGAATATTAGATTAGGTAGGGAGACGAGCGAAGATCAGGAATAGGCGACGGTGGGTAGAGGTCGGCTCTGAGATGCTTTTAACAAATTACAACAGAATAGAATAGAGTGAGAGGATTAAAGTGTCGATGGAAGACGCCGCCGGGTTCTTGGATTATTCGAGACAAGAATGTTTTTGTGGAAGGCAGAGGACTGGCACTGTTTATATACATCATCAATCCCGCCTTGGCTACGCCTCCCAAATGCGGGCTCCGCCGATGCTGGAGGGTTGCGGTGCGGACAAGCAAGGCGCTCTGCAGAAGGCCTCAGCAGACAATACATCTGTGCTCTCTTCCTGGCAGCAAGGAGAGGGAGTCCCAGAGACGGCTTATTGGCGCGGCTGCCATTCGCACGCGCAGAAAAATGGCACCCATGTCCATCCTCAGACTCCCCGAAATGGGGAAGAGAGCAGGTGTCATGGAACGATTTTCTCGGAGTGGCCCCGAGCAATGTCCCTCATTTTTGCAGGCTATTTTCAGCACACAATCTGGCCAAAAGGCGCATTTCGGCACAGCCAGCAGCGCGAGGAAAGGGGGGCCAGGAAGCACCCCTCCAGACCCCAGGCATTCCATCTGCGACGCGCTATGGCATGTAAATCCTGAGCTAGTGTGGTGGCCACCTGTATTTGCTCAAAACACACTGGGCGGGCGATCTTTATGCATCAGCTCCGGAAACGCTGAAACTAGCTGGATGCCAGCTGTCACTGGAATCCGATTTTCCCAGACTCGCACGCGCTGTCTTACCTGGAGTAGATTTTTCTAGCGCGGCCAAATACTCGTCGGCCCGAGCAATCTGGAATACCCCCGCCGGTTTGCCCCACAGTGCCAAGATCGGTGCAATAATGGTAACCCATTGTCTGCGTAAATAGGGAGTATATTATGAATGACTCAGGAACCTAGGGCGGCAAATGGACCAGCTGCCTGCTGTGACAGGTCACTGTCACACTGCCCTCGGCTGTCAGCGCGTGAGCATCATCTAAGGATTAGCAAGTGGCACTTACGCGCAGCATGTTTTGCAATCGTGACAATCGTAAACTGGATTTTTTTTTCTCACTTTGCAGATGCCACTCAATCCAAGTGAAGTGCTACATGCTTGCTGGCACCCGCCCATGCATACAAAAATGGCTTCACCAGCCTTTGGGTGATAGAATCAACGGCTCCGAGTGGGGGGTTGAGCCCAGCTGAGAAGCAGGCAGGGATCCCGCTTGGCCAACAGAGCCCAAGGCGCCAGAGAACGACGTGAGCGATTTGCGAACACCCACTCTTTCTGCACCTTGCAGAGAGCACACCCAGAAAGGAGCCACATCCATGCACGGTATATTATTCTCAATACCCCGCTGCAAGCGCATCTCCCCCCCCACCAGATGCCTGTATGTGGTTTCCAAAAGCGCTCTCCCTGTGCCCCTATCGCAACGATCGGGCAGCAAAGAACACCCAGAAACGACAGTGCTTTTGGCTCTACCGGGCATTGGGCGGTCAATGCAATGCGTGTCGTAGCTGTCCTCCTGCGCGGGGTTTCCAATTTTGGACGGAGGAATTGATCCAATTGGAGCAGGATCCGTGCAAAGCGAGGTCGTTAGGGGATAGCCCGTCAGCTTTCTCTTCTCAGTCTGCACCATGCGCTTCAACCAATGTAGCGAACGAGCATACGACTAAGAAGATACAACGTTGAAGTCGCTTGCCGCCTTACTGCACAGGCCGTGCATTGCGCTGCCCGATTGGAGAGAGCAAAGTCGGCCTACAGGCTGCCTGTCATCCACCCAACAATTCGCCCGGCCAAATGGGTGATGTTTCCCCTAAGAGGAACTGTGGGAGGGCTGGTCTGTGTTGACGCCCGCCTTATCGAGTGATGGCAGAGCGATTTCCTGCCCGCCAAAAGCGCAAAGTGGTCGGTGTAAAAAGTCTGCGCTAGGATCAATTACCATTTATTGCGTTTTTGTTTACAGAAGGTGAGATCGACAAGGTGGTGCAAATGAATGTGTCTACTTTCGAATTCGCTTCTGCAGGCTCAGCTGCCACAGATTCACATGTACATTGGGTATGTATCTATGCTGCCCCTTTTGGGGAGTTCGCTGCTGTGAACTCTGACTGGTGCCTCTGGGTTGGGAATTGGTAGCGAGCCAAATGTGAACTGCGAATCTGCCCTGTGGATTCAATGTTATTCTGTTTTACATCCTCCACATCCCCACACAGATCAGGAGTGCCATCACGGGGATGCAACACACTATAACAGCAACAAATGGAGGCAACCAGCACATGACTGAATCTTGCATATGGCCCGGAGTAGGGGCGAATCACCTTGCAGTTGCATGGCGGTGGCTAGAGAGGCAGCGGGCTTTGACATAGTCCGAGAGGTGGCACCCCCGCATATAGCCTCTCTGCACCATTGATTGCACCAAGCAGGCTGCAGACCAGCCATCGCGCAGGTTTGGCCAGGCGCATTTTTGTGGCCAATTGGACACCACAGCCAGTAAATTTGGTCTCTAGAGCTAGCTGGCGATTTACATGCTAGTCGGCAGGCGAGCGGCGGTGTGTAAGCGACATCGGATAAGATTGGCCTGCAATAAAACAGGTACCCCTTCACTCGTTCGCCGTAAATGCTGCAGTCCAAAAGCCCGAATACGCCGCAGTCCTCACGCGACGATCTCCCTCAGTTTTTGAAAGAGAGGGCTGTCCGTTCTTTGCTATTCTATCACTCAGCGACTGTTGACAGCAAAACACGAACGAATCCCGCTAGCAGCGTGTTCTCGTCCATCTACGCGTATATGCGGGCAGGCTGTGGTCATGCCACTGCAAGTGAAGTTCACACTGGAAATTGTACAGTAGCCACAGGGAGCGCAGCATGAAAGGGTGCAGCATGAGACTCGCTGTTCCGCAATGCAGCCACCTGGGCCACATATAAAATACAGGTCTGCGCCGAGTTTGCAAGTAGGAGCAGCACCCAGCGATCTGAATTTTTTGCTGAGCCAGTGGTAAGGCAGGCTCAGAAGAAGCACCTGCCAACGATTTAATTGTGGCCAGTATCGGCCTACCTCGCTATTCCCAACCCCAGTCGCTGGTCGGGCTGTTTCTAGCTACAGCAAAAATTGACCGAGACAAGACAATTCTTGGCCAACACACTCAGCCTATACACTCACCACAAGAAACTATATGCACATACGGAAAATGCAGCATGTGCCTTCTCAGATTCCCCTCCTGTGATCATCTGCAATAACCCGTGAGCAAAGCACGGTGCCAGGGGTTGGTGTAGTGGCCTGTGGCTCCTGTCGCTCTCTGCTGCTCTGCCGTCTTGCATCAATATACTTGTTTGTGGCACGGGAGAACGCACAAGAGAATGCACCCGCTCCATATTATATCCCCGAGGCTGGCTGGTTTCTGGTTGGTGTGGCTACAACGTACATCCTTGATGGTACAGAGATGCGAATAGATCGCATGCCCCTGTACAGATGGCTCATAGATGGTGAGTACCAGGCCAATCCGACGTGTTGTCTGGGGATAGTGCAAAATGTAGACAACCCGCAGGAATCGACCGCCCCTCCGAGAACGCACATTTTCTCCAAACTACAACTCACCTATGTGCTACAAGATTTCTTGCAGTGTGGCAACTGGTGAAGCATCGGGCTAAATGAGCAGGATCCGAGCCACTTTTCTCTAGATTGTATCCTGCACAGCATGCGCCCTTCATGCCATGTCTCATGACTGTGGCAACGCCTGCCAAACAAAAATGAACCTGCCTAGCGTACCTATCATGGAATGCTGATCTTTTCTGTCCTGGCTATTGACCCAAGCTGAAAAATACATGTCACTGTATGCTGCTGATCTGGTCACAGCCAGGCAGGCATGTCCCAGAATGCAGTGACTGGTACATCATCCGAGGCCTGCAGCTTTCCACATGGTTCACACAGATTCGCGGAGGTCCGCTCTGGAACAAGCAGAGATGGGATTATCAACTTGTCAGCTGGTAATAAATTTATTAATCCGCCATCTTGCTTTGCACTAGGACCTTCTTGGCCAAGCATGGATTAATCTGACGAGAACACGGCGCCAGTGCATGCCTTGGTGTATGCTCTGGACAAGGACCTGGACTTTCTTCACACCAGATATGACTACACATCTATGCTATATACTAATATTCGATTAGCAGCGATGCTTGGCCGCCATTTTCACGCGATGCGGTCGAGTACAGTGCCTGTGGACTATCGAGTCTCACTGACATACTGCCACCGCCACTACTAGCCGCAACACTGCACAGATACGTTGAATCAAACGTGATTGGGACCTGAGTATCAGTGACAACTACCTGCACTGTCTCGCCCATTACCGCTGGTGCATTCAAGCCGCTTACTGTTTTCTCGTCCCAGTTCGCAGATGTGGCAGTCAGAAAGATATTTACAGAACCGGTAGGTGGGAAGGCAAACTTTCCCAGCGTCATTGTGCATTTTGCAACGCGGCTAGAGTTACCAATTACTTCTTGAGGCAAGTCAAACGCTATGAGTGTGAACGAGCGGACCCCTGCATTATCGTAGGCTATTAGGTACGGGGACGAGCCTTGGGGTTTTGATTCAAAGGAGTTGTTGGCAGTGTAGAATGTATCCTTGGATGGTTTGAGTGTTTTGTGCTGCGTACTCAGTGGTGCCGCTAGCACAGAAATCGCGCAACAGACGATTATAGCTGTATGAAATAGGCGCATGGTAAACAACATGTAGAACAGCTATACT